CAAAGTACGAACGATGGAATCTGGACTTGGCGGTGCTTATTGCCTCATGTGTGAAACGCATCATAGCGAGTGGAAAAATAAGAAGAAAATAGAGGAAGACAATTACTTTGCCATTACTCGCTCTGCGCGGAAAAGACTCGTAATTTATTCGAAGAATTGTTCGATGAAAGAGGGCAAATTAGGAAAACCAAGGATGATTATGCGACACGGGGCGGACTTACGACAGAACCAATTAGCATTAGTGACCAGCACTACATTACACTTACCCACCAGTATATTAATGGTGTGCACTGGTTCCTCAACATACTTTATCGACTCAAGGTGAACCTTTTGACATGGGCTATTCGAGGCGAAGAAAGTAACGAGAGTCTTCAGAAGGCAAAGAACTTTATCTTAACATCTATACAGGAGAAAACTGGGCTCAAGTTGGACCAAATCTAGACCTTTCCAAGTTCAGGTTTCGTTCAGAACTCATGAACTGTTCAAAACGCTATATTCAGCGAACTGAACTGGTCGAACAGTTCTCTTGAGCGAGCTGAACTTTTCAAACAGTTCTTTCTGAATGAGCTGAACTGGTCGAACAGTTCTTCTGAGCGAGCTGAACGCCGTCGTTCAGCTGCTACACTAACATAGTCACACAGTGACTACACGGTATCGTACTAATGCAAATATTTTTCAAAGAAACTTCTTAGTTGCTTTTAAAAAAATCACTGAAAATGATGTCGTTTCAGATAGAAAGAAAACCTCTTATTTGCTGACATTTTGACCTGGCTTAAGAGTTTTGCGGTCACAGCAACAAACATTTCATATATTCACAATAACTTTCATAATATTAAATTTCATTTATTTGCGAATTCAAATAAATAAAAGGCTTAAATAGGTTAGATAATGTTTTCGGTATCTTCATAGTTCTGTGATCATCCTCAAAAAGTCCTTTAACCTTATCCAGTGGATAAGGTTAAAGGACTCCTAGATATACTGTATGAATAGGCATTGACAGGTCCTGGTTGTCCCTACAAGTAGACCTTGAGAAGTTTTAACTACGTCCTATGGATAGATCTTGATATATTAGGCCAAATCACAGATCTTCCAAAGTCGACGTTCAGTTCGCTCAAAAGAACTGTTCGATCAGTTCAGCTCGTTCAAAACGAACTGCTCGAAAAGTTCAGTTCGCTCGAAAAGAACTTTTGAACAGTTCTTTCGCTCATTTGAACGGAGTTCGTAACGTGAGCTGGCGAACCCCTAACCAAATCGATTCCTCATCTGGAAATACAGGCACGACCACAACGGGACAACAAGGTCGCAGGTTCTTTTCATTCGAATTTATTAAGGGAGAAAATCAAGGAATGTGTGCCCGAAAAACATCAGGAAAAATATTCGAAACTTATGCACCTTTATTCCGTGATTCTCAGGACGGTTTCATCTACAGAATCGATTCATATAGAAGAACTGAGGAAATTAACAAAGGAGTTTATGCTTTTCATAGCAAATGATTTTTCATGGGTCGATTACAGCATAACAGTGCACAATTTAATTTTTCATTCGGTGGAATTGATCGAACGAAACAATGGAACTGGTTTAGGAGAACTCAATGAAGAGGCCCTGGAGTCTTCGAATAAAGACGTGCGCAACTACCGTCAATTTCTTGCGCGTAAATGTGGTCATATTCCTAATCTTACGGACGTATTCGACAGACTCTTCCTTCGGTCCGATCCTCTTATTCGGCATGTTATAGAACGGTCACTATTGAACAGGCAAAAAAGAACAAGCAATATCATAGTGATAAGTACAGTGAATCCAGATGACTTACTTTTAAGTCAAATTCTAGTATAATGATTTACAGTGAAAATTTTACAGCGATGCAGTGAAACTTGTTTTTAGTACCTTTTAGTTTCTTTTAGCAAATTTTAACTACTGATTTGCGTGCGCTTGCTTTGATGAATTTTTCTCCTCCAGGAAGGGAGACCTCTCGGTGGTGAGGAGGAGAAACGTTGATGTCTCACATCAGCGGCTAACGTCCCTTCAAGACTGGCCCTAAGTATATCATATTAAAAAGAACCGAACGCAACGTTTGGTTCGACGGGTTTTCTTACTGACTGATTTAGTTTTTCAACACGTGACAACCTCTCCCCTCCCCTCTAGTAGCAGCTGTTTTCCTAAGATACCGTTTTCCACAAGAATAAAAAATTTTGATCGAAAACCTCTTAAAATAAAAGTTTTCAAAGGTGGATTTTGACTTCACTAATGGATAGAGCATAGTCGATAACCTATTAAAACATTTTTCTTTCGCGTCTATCTATTGTCTAAATGCCAATTTCCTCCTGCTCTAGCCAAATATGCCCACTGTGCCCCTTAAGGATCTTTCGCTAAAAAACATTTTTTCTGAATTCGGGTTTTTTAATTTATAGTAACATTTCAGAAGTAATCAAGTAGTATTAGTAAAATGCCCAATGTGTCCTTGTTTTGGCCTTTACGTCATCGCAGAAAAGGTAGTATGTCTTCAAGCACCAATTGCTTTCAAAACAAAGATGCAACAATGTTGACACAGAAGATAGCATGAAATTGTTTATATACTGTATCCGAAAGAGTCAAAAAAATTCAACGAAGTGTGATGCTTTTGGGATTTTACAAATATAGTTTCCATTGCAAAACGAAATTCAAAAAAGTGAAAAGTGGAACTACAGAAATACTAGTTCAGCGAATATCTGATTGTAATGACATCTCTGAAAATTTCGCTAGCGACGATTTCGTTCATCAGCACGCCGTTGGTCTTCGAGGCGTTGCTCAGCCGCTCGCTCATCAGCACATCGTTGGTCTTGGCGACGTTGTTCAGCAGCGCTTTCCTGTTGGCGTTGTTGTTGTCGTCTACTTCCTTGTTTATCGTTCCAATACTTATCATTCCAGTATTTATTCTCCAGGCTTCTCTTCTTTCTTTGTTCTTGATTTCGTCTTTCTTTCTCTTCTTTTTCTTCTTCTTTGCGTCGCTCGTCTTCTTCCTCTCGTTTTTTCGCTTGCTCCTCGGCTTCAAGTCGTTGTCGTGGAAATTTCAGTGTGGTATTGTTATAGCTAGTCGTTGTTGCTCGAACTGTTTCTACTGCATATACAACCACTTTTATTTCATTTTCTGCTAATTGTTTGACCAGTTCTGCATCAGCTCTTGTCCAACCTGTTTCCATGTCTCTTTCACCGCCGTTCACATCGAGTAATCGAATGGCGCGTATAGCTAACAGTAGTCGATTCGCCGCTATTTCCACTGAATTTGGAACGAACTTAAAATGGTGTGTATAAGGATGAACACCCGGAGCTACGTGAATACACGTCTCACAGAGATCGAAGCTAACAAGTGGAGCACATGTTTCACACTGATATCGTTTTCCCGTGAAACTTTCGGCCATACACACATTACAAGTGATAAAATAATTTTTCTCGAACAGTTTGGACTCTTCGGCTTGTCCAGCTAACTCGAGACTTCGTTGATTAAGTTTTTATTTCAAAACGAGACGAAACGGTTAACGCGATTTTGTAGAGCGCATTCGAAGGTATAGGAAAACATACTTCGAGGTCATGTGAG